AGAAATCTTGCAAAATCTTTTAAGAGCAGTCAGCTCCTCACATACAATAAATAGCATTGCTGTACTTTGGGTCCCCTTCCAAGATGGAGCAACGACCAGAGGAGGCCTTTGGCATCTAAAGTTTCAGGAGAAGAGGAAGGAAATCACCTTGCATCGAGCCTTGCCTGAAAATCAATCAATCAATCAATCAATAAAACACAGCAGGGTTTTCCTCCTCTGTGGCTCAGATTCTCTCATGGGAAAGAGACCGCATCCGCACTGCAGGAATCACCCGGCTTGACACCCCTTTAACTGCCAGGGCTCAGTGCTATGGAATTCTGGGAATTCTGTAGTTTGTTGCGGCACCATTCCCAGAATTCCATGGTGGAGCATTGTCTGGAGGGTCTTGGATTGTCTTCGGATCCTTCTCTCTCTTTTCCCTCGCAGACTTTCCTTTCCTCCGAAGGCAGCGTCCCCTTCTTGCCCCAAGAGAGGTTGCCAAGAGGGGCTCTTTGGGGCTGGAGCTGGGCTTCCATCAGGGAAGGGGGGCCTCTATCTGCCTCCAAGGCCCCCTCAGCCCCCCACAACTATGGGGGCCCAGGCTAAAACGAAAAAGAGGAGGGCTGCTCCAGAAAGCAGACAGTGGATAGTATTAGCCCTTGGCCACAACAACAACACAAGTAATATTAATATTAATATTAATATGATATTGATATTGATATTAATGCTCTCTGGCTACTAACCCTTCTGGATCCTAACATTGGTGGAATAATAATAATAATAATAATAATAATAATAATAATAATAATAATAGTTTTTTGTGGGTTTTTCGGGCTGTGTGGCCATGTTCTAGAAGAGTTCCTTTCTGACGTTTCTCCAGCATCTGTGGCCAGCATCTTCAGAGAAATAATAATAATAATAATAATAATAATAATAATAATAATAATAATAATGAGGAGGAGGAGGAAGAGGAGGAAGCAATGATATTGGGGGTCCTTTTTCTTTGATGTGTAGGACCATCTTTGGCTTCTCTGCATCAGTTCTGCCCCTGCGCAGTCCTTGGCACGGTCACCTTTTACTCAGGAGTAACCCCAATTGCCTCCCATGGGATTTACGCCCAGGGAATTTGGCATCTGACCGGAGCTGAAACGCGCCCTCCACGAAAGAAAGCTGAAGATGTCCGATGAATCACATCTATATCCATATATATGTCTATATAATCCCATCTACATGTATATCTATATAGATCTATATCTATAGATAGATATAGAGATATATAGATCTATGTTTATCAGTTATATATACTATGTATCAATCTCATATATATATCAATCATATATATATATATGATTGATACATAGTATATGATTGATGTACATATATATGTGTATATATATGTGTGTGTATGAATCATATGTACACACACACATCTCTCTCACACAAACACAAATATATAAGATTGATATACATATATATGTGTATATATATGTGTGTGTATATGTATGAATCATGTGTACACATATACATCTCTCTCTCACACACACACAAATATATAAGATTGATATACATATATATGTGTATATATGTGTGTGTGTATGAATCATATATATATATATATATATATATATGATTGATATACATATATATTTGTATATATATATGTGTGTGCATGAATCATATGTACACACACACATCTCTCTCTCACACACACAAATAT